GAGAAAGGATAAGATTAGGAATGAGGATATCCGAGGTAAAGTAGGAGTAGCCGGAATTGAAGGAAAGATGAGAGAAAATCGGTTACGGTGGTTTGGACATGTGCAAAGAAGGCCTACTGACGCTCCGATTAGAAGATGCGACTATGGGATAGAGGTTCAGGGCCGAAGGGGTAGAGGAAGACCTAGGAAAACTTTGGAAGAGACCCTAAGAAAAGACTTAGAGTACTTGGATCTAACGGAGGACATGACACATGACAGAACACAATGGCGTTCTAAGATTCATATAGCCGATCCCACTCAGTGACTTGGATTTTCCAAGTCTCCAACCGAGAAGTTTTCCTCACTCGGGAAATTAAGGGAACACTACCTCAACCTACATGCTCCACTCACAAAGCTTCAACATACAAGCTTCAACAAAAGAAAATTCAAAGAACTTAGCGAAGAAGGCTTTGGTGTATTTAACACAATACGTTGAAATGAAGGAAAGCTTATTTATTGATATCCCCGATAAGTTACAAATATGTACATATACTTGAGTCAAAATAAACAAACAAGAGGGAGCCTTCACAAAGGTGGCTTAGGAGAAGTCTCAGCAGTCGGTAGAGCCCCAGAAAGAGAAGGCACCGGAGGGGGATCATTCGGAGCCTCAGTACTGGACAAAACCCTAGAAGGAGGAGGCATCAGAGGTTGATCATTTGGAGCTTCATTACGCGGTACAGCCCCAGAAGACGAAGGCAATAAATGCCTTTGGAACAAACCCACAAATCTCTGATGATCAAGTAAAACCTGACCATCAGATTCCTTCATCTGGTCAAGCTTCATCTTCATGTTTGTAGCATAGTCATGTGCGAGCCGGTGCAACTGTTTATTCTCATGCTTGAGCCCTCTAATCTCCTGTTTGAGACTCATCACTTCAGCCGCCAATGATTCAACTTGGCGGGTTCGAGCAAATAGGCGTTGGGCCATATTAGACACAGAACCTGCACACTGAACACTGAGAGCCAGAGAATCCTTAACAGCCAACTCATCAGACCGTTTGGAAAGTAGTCTGTTATCTTTGGGAGTGAGAAGGTTCCTGGCCACTACCGCAGCGGTCATATCATTCTTCATCACGGAATCCCCAACGGTAAGAGGACCAGTAGGGGAGACGAAGGATGGGCGCCATATGTTGTCTGGAGAAGGCGAGGCTGCCTCTTCAACAAGGTTCAAGTCAAAACGACGGTCGGAGGGGCCAGACATTTTCAAAGGTGTTGAAGAGAGGAGGTCGGACAAATCAAGACCTAGAAGTGCAAGAATGGAGCTTCTACTGGTGGATATTCAAGTGTGCTTTGGAACTTAATGTTAGCCTCTATAAAAAAATCTGCACTCGACGAAGCTTCAGAAATCGAAGAGGCGTTTGCTTTCTCAAAAGCTGGGCTGCTCAGAGACCACGAGGGTTGATCTCAGAAATCGAAGAGGCGTTTGCTTTCTCAAAAGCTGGGCTGCTCAAAGACCACGAAGGCCGATCTCAGAAATCGAAGAGGCTTGCTTTCTTAAAAGCTGGGCTGCTCAGAGACCACGAGGGCCGATCTCAGAAATCGAAGAGGCACCTACTTTTCCAGCCTTGTCAGCACCTGTCACACGCACACTCAGCTTTGCGGAAATTATGGGCATTCTGTCGAAGATTTCTGGCGAAGTAGAAAGCACATGAATCGTACTGTTCAATCACCCACTTCCCACACGCAACAGTAACTCATGGGTACCACAGATAACTTTGCCAAAGTTCTCTGACAAAGTTGAGACACGTGAAGCTTGCAGCTCCCGCTACATCGCTCTGACCAAGAAGGGTAAAAGAATTGCAAAGAAACAACACTAACAAAGTTTAGACACATAAATTTTGAAGGTCTAGCTACCATATTATTACCTATAAGGGTAAAGGAACAGTACCACTGCTGGATAATTGGAAAGTCCCGGTGTGTCAACCTCTGTGCTTCGTGGCAAGGTAGACTAGCAAACATGCCCAACCTTTACTCACATTCGAGAAAACACTCCCAACAGGATTGCTTGCTCCAAAATCGAAGAGGCACCGCCCTCCGAATCTCAAGAGCCAGACTCCCAACATGATTACTTTCTCAAAAATCGAAGAGAGGGTAAAGGAACAGTACCACTGTTGGATAATTGGAAAGTCCCTGTGTGTCAACCTTTGTGCTTCGTGGCAAGGTAGACTAGCAAACCTGTCCAACCTTTACTCACATTCGAGAAAACACTCCCAACAAGATTGCTTGCTCCAAAATCGAAGAGGCAACGCCCTCCGAATCTCGAGAGCCAGACTCCCAACATGATTACTTTCTCAAAAATCGAAGAGAGGGTAAAGGAACAGTACCACTGCTAGATAATTGGAAAGTCTCTGTGTGTCAACCTCTGTGCTTCGTGGCAAGGTAGACTAGCAAACATGCCCAACCTTTACTCACATTCGAGAAAACACTCCCAACAAGATTGCTTGCTCCAAAATCGAAGAGGCACCGCCCTCCGAATCTCGAGAGCCAGACTCCCAACATGATTACTTTCTCAAAAATCGAAGAGACACCGCTCTCCGAATCTCGAGAGCCAGACCCCCAGCAGGTTTGCTTTCTCAAAAATCGAAGAGGCATCGTTCTCCGAATCTCGAGAGCTAGATCCCCGACAGGATTGCTTGTTCGAAAACCGAAGAGGCACCACTTTCCCAACTTCAAGAGCTGGACCTCCTTGGATAAAGCTTGTCTGTAATCTTCACACGCAACATCAGCTTTCCAGATACCACAGACCACTTTTTCAAAGTGCTCTGACAGAGTTAAAACATGTGAAGCTGGCAGCTCCCACTACCGTGCTATGACCAAGCAGGGTAAAGGAATAGCATTATTACTTGATGTTAGGGAGACTCCTATATATGTCGACCTCCATCCCTAACGGACAGGCAGACCTGCAAAAATGCTCAACCCTTTCTCTTATCTGAGAGGGCACTCCCAACGAAGCCTTTCGAAATATTCAGCTTTCTTTCCCCCCGATAATACCTCTGGAAACAAGCTATACTAGAGCAAGAATATCTCATATCATCAGGGTTAAAAGCAAGAGTATCCCATATCATGCTTTTTCCCTGTCTTTTCCTTTGGCCTTGTTCTTACCTACAAGACAAGGAGAAAGAGAGCAATCAGTCAGCACTTGGAATCAAGCTTCCAGCCAGGAACTGACTGCCTGGAACCCCTTACCTGATTACTTACCTGGCATTGCTCTCGAGTACTCATCTTCAACATCTTATGCTTCTAGGGAAGATACCGCATCTGCCTGAGGAACAGATAGAGCAAGTGAGAAGGATACAAGGAAGCATGTGGAGACAAGCGTAACAGCACGCGTGCCGATACATCCACTACTCTGTCAAAAGCAAAAGTATCCCATATCAGCAGGGTCGAACGTACTCTAGATTTGATGGACTTGTTTTGACCCTCAAATTCTTCAGTCGGCCTTATACTCTGGAGGAAACCAGAAAACCCTCCAGCCCGGTTCAAGAATAAGTTTGTGGAAAGTTACTTCTTCAAAAGCAAAAGTATCCCATATCATCTCTTCTCATTTTTCTTCTCTTTATCCTTCATGCTGCCTGCAAGATAGGGAGAATGTGAACAATCAGCCGGAGCTCTGATTGCTTACCTTGTCTGTCACCTCTTTCAGCAGATCCCCTAGCCCGGCGACTTGGGGGACTCCTATTACATGGTTTGTATCGCGCTTGACCAAGCCTGAAACTACAAGTAAGCTTCAAGTGAAATTGATACATTACCTTGTGCATCTCCACCAGTTACAGATACCACCCCTGGATGGAGGAAGAGTACTTCCAGAGAAAGATGCCACATCTACCTATGAGACAGATAAGGCAAGTCAAGACGATACCACACTCCGGTACTTAGAAGTTTCGTGGTTACGAGATCATTCTCCCACAATATTTCCTAATGTCATTTGTACTAAATCATTCACTTGTACTAACTAAAGGAGAGCTTGAACCTATGTACTTGTGTAAACCCTTCACAATTAATGAGAACTCCTCTATTCCGTGGACGTAGCCAATCTGGGTGAACCACGTACATCTTGTGTTTTGCTTTCCTATCTCTATCCATTTATATACTTATCCACACTAATGACCGGAGCAATCTAGCGAAGATCACAAAAAAGTGACCGTTTTCGCTACCTAGGATCTATCTTGCAAGAGAACGGAGAATTAGATAGAGATCTCAACCATAGAATACAAGCTGGATGGATGAAGTGTAAGAGTGCATCCGGCGTGTTGTGTGACCGTCGTAGGCCACTGAAGCTCAAGGGAAAATTTTATAGGACGGCAATAAGGCCAGCGATGTTGTATGGCACAGAATGTTGGGTGGTGAAGCATCAACACGTACACAAAATGGGTGTAGCGGAGATGAGGATGCTTCGTGGGATGTATGGGCACACGAGAAAGGATAAGATTGGGAATGAGGATATCCGAGGTAAAGGAGTAGCCAAAATTGAAGGAAATATGAGAGAAAATCGGTTCCGGTGGTTTGGACATGTGCAAAGAAGGCCTACTGACGCTCCGGTTCGAAAATGTGACTACGGGACAGAGGTTCAGGGCCGAAGGGGTAGAGGAAGACCTAGGAAAACTTTGGAAGAGACCCTAAGAAAAGACTTGAGTACTTGGATCTAATGGAGGACATGACACAAAACCGAGCGCAATGGCGTTCTAGGATTCATATAGCCGACCTCACTTAGTGGGAAAATGCTTTGTTGTTGTTGTTGTTGTTGCATGTATAATAAGCAAATCACACAAAAATCTCTTTTGTGAGGTGGGGTTTTTTTTTACTGAACCCAGTAAGTGGTCTATGTAAATATGGTGGAAAAAAAAAAACTCCTTGGAGTGCTACCTATCACTGTATTGTGCAGCTGTTAATTACCCATGTTGTGATTTTACCTCTATTGCATTAATCGCACTTAAAGATATCATCTTTTTTGTGGGGTGAGGGTTTTTAACTGAACCCAGTACATGATTCATGCAAATATGGTGGAAAAAAGTGAATTTGGATTACTACCTGCCACTCTACTGTGCTGCGTCCAGTGGCAATTGGGAAGAGGCTAGCAAGTTTCTGGAAAATGATCCTCATGCTGCAAAAGCTAGGATCTCGAATTTATCAATGACTGCACTCCATGTTGCTGCAAGCGAAGGGCACTCCGAATTCGTGGAGAAATTAGTGAAACGCGTTCCTAGGGATGTCCTCGAAATGCAGGATGAAATGGGATTCACACCACTTCACTATGCTGCATAGGTGGAAGCCTGAGGTCTGCCAAGGCTTTGTTGATGGAAAATCTAAAGTTGGCACAATGTGTAGATGCCGAAGGAAGAACTCCGCTGCTCCTAGCTGCCACCTTGGCTTCTGAGAATAAGGAGTTGGTGTGGTACTTTTTGTTGGTAACTACAAATGAGGAGCCTGGTCATCCTTTTACTGGCCACTGGGCTGCTAACCTAGTCAATATGCTTATTGCCTCAGGTTTCCATGGTAAAAACCACTCTTGTGCACAATGTGGAACAACGTCATTCCTTTTCGCTATCCCTATCATTATAATTTGATTGATTTATAATTTTCTGCAACAGAAATTTCACTGTATGTGCTTAATAAATATCCTGAGTTGGCCATTGCTAAAGATAAAGAAGATTGTACTGCTTTGTATGTTTTGGCAAGGAATCAATCAAACTTCCTTAGTGGCAGCAGGCTTGGATTTTGGGAAAGCTGCATTTACTCATGTTAAGAGCCTCATCTCATTTTTCGACTTTAACATCTTCCCATTCACTTGTTCAATTTGTTTTTTTTGTACTGATTTTTAAGTGGCTGCTTATTATTTTCCATTTTGGTTTCAGTTCTCCCTGTTGAAGTGGACTCTATACCACCACACTCAGTGAGAACCTATGTGGCTCGCCATGGAAGTGTCCAAAACCTTCAGACAATGGCAACACCAGAACAGTATGGAGGTCAGGATTTGCAAATTCTGTATTAATTATTCTCAGCTTTTTATCATATGCGAAAAAAGAAAATGTCGATTATGAGATTTATCTCTGTAGTTGCGCAACCTGTGATGATATCAAGCAAGTTTCTATCTTGAGTATCATCTTTTAGAAGGATAAAAGAAAGGAAAAATAGGGGGTTGCAGTGAAATAGATATAATTAGTTGTACTGTTGATTGAAGTAAAAGTATCAAACTTAGTGTATTTCTTAAGAAAAGGGTTTTGTCAATCAACTTCATGGTTATAAACTTTTAATGATCAATTAGAGGTGAAACCGGCTACGTAACTCCGAAAGGAATTGTCTGGTATCAATCTGCAACATTTGACACTTCTTGTTTAATTTTGTTCTCTGTTGCAGTTCTTCATGGGTTAAGAAGAGTACTTTTTGGAGCTATTAAACGAATAGGTATGATCTCTTGTGTAATTTTCTTCTCTGATGCAGTTCTTCATGCTGTATGCTTTTCACTCAGCATCTTTCACATTTTTAACTTGCAGCACCAGCTAGTTTCACGCAACTCCATGATGCAAAACTTAGACATCACTGTGCAGTTGAACTAGTAAAACGTATTTGCTCACAACTTTCACAGAGGCATACTTCTTGGCGGTTCAATTATCTTTTGAATTCAGATATCATGCAGATAGCCACTGTAAATGGCATAGTTGAAATTATAAGTATGCTCGTAGAATCTTTTCCAGATCTAATATGGGTTCGCCTCCTCAACAACCAATATTTGTTACTCAACTTCGCTATTGAACTTCGACATGAACATCTTTTTCGTACTGTGTATGATAAGACTGCACGAAGTAAATTAATGGCTGCTACACTACTTGAATCGGGGGGTTCCATCTTGCATCTGGCAGCAAAGTTGGCTCCTCTTCCGCAACTCTCATCTATTTCCGGTGCAGCTCTACAAATGCAGAGAGAACTGCAGTGGTTCAAGGTGTTTGCTCAGAAAATTTCTCAATTGTTAGTATACACACATTTTCACATTCTTAATAATTCTTTTATTCTGTATATTTAGGAGGTGGAGAAACTAGTTCACCCCTATTATAAGGAGAGCCGGAACCAAAACGGAGAATCTGCTAGAGAATTATTCACCAAGGAACACAAATTATTGGCTGAGAGCGGAGAGAAATGGCTAAAGGATACGTCAAATTCTTGCATGCTCGTATCAACTCTCGTTGCCACAGTTGTGTTTGCTGCTGCTTTTACAGTACCTGGATGTAACGACAACGAAGGAGCTCCAATTTTCTTACAGAAGAAGTCAGCCATATTCTTGGTGTTTGTTGTTTCGGATACAGTAGCTCTATTTTCTTCTTTAACTTCCCTTTTGATGTTTCTATCAATCCTAACTGCGCGTTATGCTGAAGAAGATTTCCTAGAGTCACTACCAAAGAGGTTGATAATAGGTTTGGGCACTCTCTTCTTTGCTATAGCCGCGACGATGGTGGCATTTGGTCCAACACTTTCGATTGTGCTCAGCAAGAGATTCAACGGGGTTTCCGTCCCTATCACCTTGCTGGCAAGTTTTCCGGTGACTCTTTTTGCTCTGCTGCAGCTTCCCTTGTTTATCCAAATGGTCCGATCCACATTTGGACAGAGTATCTTTCGCCCTAAAAAACTTGGGTAATCCGAAGGACAGATGGAAGAAAAGATGTGTGAACTTGTGTTTTGGCTGTGTTTTTATGCGTACTGATCAGTGATGAAAGGCAGATTCTGCATTAGATAAACCTATAGCATGCTGCAGATGTTCTATATAAAACTTTAGGACTTTGTGTAATTATGTGTGGGACATATTATTTGTGCTTCAGGACTTAAACCTCCTTAGGGCATTGTTCGGAATTTATTTTGGAAAGGCTAAATGTTGTATAAACGATTTTCCTTGGCCATTGTACATTGTTTGTGAGCCATTGGCACCCTCCCAATCACAAACCAATTCTGATCTTCTTGGAGGAGGCCGTCTGCGGCGGCAGCGAGCACTGCAACACTGCCGCTCGATTTGGAGCTTCAGAGAATCAGAGTGGCTTCTCATAAGTTTTGTAAGAGCATCTCCAATGCAAGGGCTCAAATCTTGTATCTGACTCAAATCCTAAAACTCAAAATGAGTCCTAGTTTCTACGCAAGAATGTGTTTTATAACGACTTGTTAACTTTATGAAAGCGATTTCTGCGCATCTTTTTTCACCTTTTGTTCAGGAGGGAAGAAATGGTGAGCGAAAATAATGAATGAGAGAGAGAGAGAGAGAGAGAGAGAGAGAGAGTTGGACAAAGAAGTAAACTCTACTGAATATCATTTTTCATTCACAACATTTGTTGAACAAGGAAGTACATTCTATACCAAGAACCTTTGCAGGGACTCTTGACACCGATGACTTTGTACGGGAAGTGAAATTTTCGGATTTTGACCCAACTTCATGTTACATGCACACATGAGTATTCTTCTACTATAATTTTCTTCTGAATCTACAATTCATGAATTTCTGTTGTATCAGCTTTTAGGCCTTGAAACAAAGCAAATAGGTTTGCTCCTCTGACAATTGAGAGCTCGCCCTTTCGATGATCTGAGAATAATGATAAAGTGGCATTAGCGCTCGTCTAAATTAAAGATTATAGATCAAAGATATGCTATAACTGCAAACTACAAATGCACAACTACGATAATACCTCAAAGCCCAGCTTACGGTACAGTTCCTGCGCGGGTTTGTTCTTTTTATGCACATGCACATATATCAGTTCGACATCAGCTACATTTAAACAGAAAAAGAAAGGGAATGAGTAGACTCAGAAGAGGAATTCAAGTGCGCCCTAGTCAGACATTTCTATAATCCCAGAGAAGGGTTCATGCAATATTTCATGCGGTATTTCATCTTACCATTTAACATTGCGGATCTAATAGCAAACTGTAACATATTGCTCGCAATACCCTGGCGTCGTGCTGCTTTGGCCACACATAAGTTTGAAATATAACCATATTTACTTGACAGTGTCCTGTTGATACTGCAAAAGAGAGGAGCGTTTACCCGTTCCTGCAACAGAAATTAATTTAATTGTCAGTTCAGCAAAGCCAATAAACTGGACAAACTGGTAGACACACATGCAGTGTAGGTTTTTAGTTTTAATTGTACCCCTGGAAAGGTCTCTCCATCCAACAAGTACCGAATGCTCAAATCAAGTGTTCCAACTACACTTTTCACGACAGTACGTTTCGCATTCTTTGTGTCCTTCTTCACCTGACAAATTCGAAAGCAAACAGTCACCGTCAATGGTATATTTTTATTGACTGGGTACCTTAGCTAAATATAACATGCCTTAATGCAAAGAAGGGTTTTCTGAGTTCAAACTAATAAACCAGAAACACGCTCATTCAAATATGTCAGTCATACCGTGATAATGCATGTGCATGTCTGCCTCTGCTGCCCCTTCGTTCGTTTTTTTATAGCGTTAAATTCCTAAAAAAATTATATGTATAATTCAGAATTTTATTTGAGACATATATTCCAAGTGTACACGTAGAGAATGCAAAGCAAATGAATCTTTCCTACCTGGTCTGCAAATTTCCTTTTGTTACTCTCAGCAAATCTGTGTCAATCAAGCATAGCTAGAATCAGCAGTGCCCAACCGTCCATTTGATTGATAAAAACAAATACTAGAGGCTTGGAGCCCACTAAAGACTGCACATACAGAGGGAAACCCACCATTGGCAGGATCCAGCCATGGGGGTAGTTCTCTAGAAATCTTGATTGATTCAGAACTAGAAGTTCTGAACCTTTCCTTATTCCCTTGTTTTATCTTTCACCTTGATTGCCAGCATTTGTTTAAAATGGTAGGATTATTCCTCTGCATGTAAAGCTTTATATGATGACTTCAGATGGTATAGACCATCTAGTCAGCCTACCTATGATAGGAACTTCATGTTCCTCAGTTAGTTAGAGTAGTTCGATTACCAAAGACCAAAGGCAAAGAGACAGAGACAGACAGAAAGACAGAGAGGGAAATCTGAAAGTAATAAAGAACTACAGTACACACCGGTCATTTTTTCGCTCCTCCCAGTGACTTTCTGCACGTAACCATGCTGCTGTCTGCCACAAACCCAAAAGCATCAAAAAACCAAATATTATTCGTGGGCACAAATAACCTACACTTGGAAAATTTTGCCAAGATGTGATCATCTAGATAGTGATTACTTACCCAGTATTCTTCATCCAGTGCGGCCTCTCGTGCAACAAATTGTCCAAATTCCAACTTTTTCTGTTGATCTAAATCTTCATCTGATGGTTGCAGCCGGTCAAATTGCAGATCAGGATGTTTTGATGGTTCACAGTGAGGAATAGTTTGTGTTGGAATCTCTACTGACAGCTCTTCCATCTTCCTCGGATGGGAGGACTTCAAATCCCTTTTCCTGTCCATTTGGTAATGAAATAAGATAATGAAAGATATGTAGCGCTGCTAATATACTAAACAACTAACTATAAGGAGAGGCCTTTACTTTAATAAGAGTATTGCATAAGGAACAAAAATAAGTGGCTAGATCAAATAGCACTAAAAAATTTCCATATAGGACATCAGCATACAACCGCATACAAGGAAGAAAAACCTTGCAGCATACAGTACAATAAGAATTTAAGAATGCAACTGAAAGTAAATGAACTAATCCAATATGAATGAAATATACAACTGTAACTCACACGTACCAAGTGGCATTGATCCTGTGAAACTTTTGATGACTTCTATAATCGACATGAGAAAATCTCAACAGCACAGCCTTGTCAATTGAAATCGTCAACATCAGAACAGTCCTTCCTCTGGAATTGACTTTCACAGAGGGGGAGATGCTTCTTAAAAAATGTCTTATGTCACAAAGATGGTGACAATAATTCCCAGCATGTGAAACGCTTGTTTGATCCCTGCTGGATGTAGCTGTCTATTAAAACAAAAGCAAAATAATTTCAAGAAACATGGCTGCGGATAAAATGCCCGATATAACTACCTATATGTCAAGTGTGGGGCTGTAAATAGTGTGGATAAGACAAAGATGACAACACGTAGGCTTGAGTCTATTTATTTATTCATGGAAAAGAATGTGATTTCCTGGTATGTAGTGATTACCACATCATACGGGACCCGAAATTTGGATTCTAGACCGCCAGCACTTTTGGGAAAACTAAACTCGAAAGTGGTCCTAACAGAGACGGTCATAACCTGTTTATCTCGGTAGCTTTGCTTGGAAGGAGTGTCACTAACTATCTGGTGAAAGAAGCAACAAGTGGGTATGCAGCAAACACACAGGTTTGTGGACAAAACCAGGGGCAGCTCTCTAAATGTTTTAAAGAAGTTGATATCAATGCCAGGAGAGAGAACATGTGAAATCCCTGGCAGCCGGCTCTCCTCCTTTGCAACCTCATTCTTCTATTCTTTTTTATGTCAATTTTTTCCATTAATACCAATTATTTCCTAAAATACACAAAAACAAAAATGGTAATCAAAATATTGGCCAAAGATTTTTTTAGGATTAATTAGCATAACATGCACTTAATGGTGGGACTTGAATAATAATTATTGAGGACAATTCGGACAATATTATCCAAAAAAATAATTTACCTGCATTTCTTCTTTCCCTTCTTTGTACCAAAAAAAACTACCAAATGATCAAATCCCCTCCCCAAATGACCTCTTTTATACCATAAAAATTCAAGATTTACCCAATAATTAATGGATAAATCTTTACCCTAATCATATTTTCGCAATTTGCGGTGCACTAATAAGAAAATTTAGAAACTTTTAGCAGAAACGTGGGCACATGTAAGCCGGACTTGGATAATGATATAAATATTGGGAATATTATTAAAATATTAATTAAGTCAATAATTCTCCCCACGTCACCAATCAATCGATTATCCACAATGTAAGAGACATTACAAATACTTCTTTTTCTTGTGGCTTAATTTTATATTTTCGTTGGGGAAAGAGAAGAGAAAAAGGCAACAGTCGCCATTTCGACTGAGTCGACTCGGCCGAGATATTCGCACCTACTTCCTTACAGTTAAACGCCATAGTTTCGGCGACCGATCAAGAAAGCTAAGGAATTTCCGCCATTAAAACACAAAAATTCGCATGCAATTTCAGATTAAAGAAGAAGGAGAAAAAGAAAGCTTACTCAATTTCTTGGTGCCAAAGAATCGGAGCGTCTCGTTGCACAAGCGCAGACTTTTGGCTCGTCAGCGGTTTATGGATTGATACTTTGGGGCGGAAGGCACAGTGGTTTGAGGTGGCGCTGCGGGGTAACAGTTACGGCTCGTTGGCGGTGGAAGGCATTGTTTTTTAAGGCGCGCTCAGCGACGACTGAATTTACAACAAGGCGCTTTACGACGTTTATCTTAGGAAAATAAAAAAATATTTATAAGAGAAGGTATCGGATGTCGTATTATTTATTTTGGGCCCCTTGATGATTTAGATCAACTTGAGCCGTTGGATCATTTTGAGGGTAGTTGGCTTTTTCGTTTCTTTTTAGCTAACATTTTCCTCTTTCTTTGTATTTAATTATTACTTAAACGTTAATTAATAATATGTTTATTTTTTTATTAGTAGTACATTATTACTTAAACGTTAATTAATAATATTTTTCCCTTTCCCTAAATTCATTTATTTTTAATAAAATAAGCATTTTATTTTAATCCAAAAAATATTTTTACAGCTCAAAAATCACTTTTAACTCTTTCAAAACAATTCATAACATGTTGTAAAAAAGTCGTCACTTAAAATCTTTTATGACCCATAGTAGAAAAACAACTTAGGTGAGATTATATTTTACGTTTCTGAGCATCCTTGTTCTTCCTTCTCCTTTAAAGCATTTTCAAGGTCTCAAGTTCAATTATCTCTTACTTTCTATTTTTTTCGTATTAAAGAAAAAAATGCAAAGTACGTAAACAAACGGCCACGAATCATAAATTAATAACACTCACAAGTCATAAGCTTTACATTACATAAACCCTAGTGACCCCAAAACTAAATGACCAAAAATACACCGACCATTCAAATGCTTGCTTTGCTATACCCAACTTTGAAATTACCCCCTTAGCCTTCAAACTCAGAAGTCTTGACCCACTGCCCATACTTGTTCTTCATCTTCTCATCCAGCTCCCTGGCCTTCACCTCAGCTATTTTTGCAGCATTTTCCATGGACTCCTCCTGAACTTTTGCGATCCGCCGGCTCCTCTTCTTCGTCATCGCCTCCCTCTCGGCTTCCAACCCTTCATACTCCCTCACCCAGCAGCTCTGCACCACGCAGCTCATCACCAACACCAACACCTGCATCATCAGCATCGCCATCAGAACCCCGCATTCCAACCTCACCAACAGCTTGGCCTCTCTCGGGTCCCGTGGTGACTTGATCAACGACATGGTGCTGCGCTCTTTGGTGAACAATGCCAGTGTGCCGAGCAGCTGTGCGACCAGCGAGGCGAGGAGGAGAGAAACGTGGGTTATGAAGCAGAGATGGGTGAGCTGAGAGTAGAAACCTACAAAGGAGGAGAGAATCGAGATGCCGGAAATCATTAGGAACGCCATGCCCATTGAAGTTGGGGGCGTTCGGAGGAGGACGGTGGGAACCAGAGAGGTGACGGAGAGGATGAAGAGAGTGAAGTTCAGACATGAGAGGAGAAGATTTGGGAAGGAACAAGAGCTTCGGAGGTTCGATTTCGAGGCTGCCATTTTCGGGGTTTGAAGATTTGAATTGCTTCAGGGAATCGAATGGGTTTTTTGCTTCACAAGCGTGGAGTGGGGGAAGAAGCTTTTTGAATTTATAGAGGAGGTGGGAGCGGAATTTTGCCGTTGAGTTTGCAACGGCTAGGTTTTGGATGGGATGGGGTGGGGGTGACTCATGTGCGTCCTCGAGTGGCGTTACAAATTTTCCCTCCTCAGAGATTTAAATTCCAAAAGGAAAGTAATGATCAACAAGACAAATTAGAACCCACCAAAGTACTAATCCCACCCACCAGCTTTTCTCAACCCAAACAAATCAAAATTAAAAGAGATCACTGTTCCTCTAGTTACCTCCAAATCACAGTCGACGCTCTTATGCAAGTGACTTGTAGAGAATTCATAAAAGTACAAAATTTATGCTCACATGTCAAGCTGTAATTTGTCTATACGAAAGAGAGACTCCTTATTTTATGGAGCAAAGTATTAACTATATCGAAAGTTCTCTCTTTCATGACACGCGGGCATCTCAGAGGATACAAAATTTCATTTCGCATCGAGGACATATATAATAAATTATGGCTGAAAACTTTGCTTTAATACTCGAATTCAAAGGGATTGGTAGTAGCACCCAATAAGATGATGGAGAACCAGGTGAAAGTTGTACTAGGTAGAAATTTAAATATCATTTACACGATGCTAAACAACAAAGTAGATAAAACCGTGATCTGATTTGCAAGTATGCTCGGCTCTTGGAAATAACAGCATGTACAATTTACTTGTGTAAATCTGCTGCATCCTCTGGTCCATTGATCCATGTAGAACGGTCATTGTGTGACGAAAAGTCGCTTGATTTCAAGGGATCTGAAGGACTTGAATAAGAAATTACATCCGTTTCAGTTCTCTGCTGCTGATCCTGCTGAATGAAAAAGAAAGATGCACTTTACTATTTTGTAGCAGATTAGTCCTAAATCCAAATTCTATGTCCCCCATAAGGTGTACATTTCAAACCCTGCGCATGGTGTTCATGGGTTCAACGAAGAAAATAAGAACAAACAGAACAACAATAAGAGCTAGGAAAACGAGTACATTTTCAGCTACCATCTAATAAGTGCTTAACCTCAATAACTGTCCTACCTGGCCTTTAGGCTTGTATAAACTGTAGATATCAGTATAGGTTACAATGGTCTCAACTCTATCTAGCGATGCTTGCAGCTTTCCCGAGTTCATGTTGAACCATGGTTCACCAGTACCCAGAGCCCTAATCAATTCAAGGTTTTAACCATGAGCCACAATTAATCCACAATTAATCACAGTCAAAGAAATAGTTGACACAACATGCATGTAATATTTCTTCAATATGAAGTTAATCAACCATACAAGACTAAGAAACTTGCCCTGTGATTTCTGGAAGTACATAATCAGCCCTCCACCCAAAGCGCAAATCCACACCAGGAACCAAGCGAACCGATGTCTTACTCCTAGTACGAGATATACCATCTCCACCAAAACAAGTAGTAAGTTTCCATTTCCATCCAATTGCATTCGTTTGAAAATTATGGCCGATGCCAACCTGCTTTTTCCAACAGTTTGTAGTGTGAATGATGACAAATATTGGCTCAGTCCAGGCAAGGGGGCACACAAGCAGACTATATGATGTTGAAGCTACAATATTATCAATTCCTAATTTCCTAGTAAGATTGGCATATGGTAATCGAAGTGTGCTTGAGATGGTGCAAAGGATCCAAAATTATATACGTTGGTAGTCTAGGAAAGTAGGGTCGGGCAGCATCAAACCTGGAGATTTAGAAATCCAGTTAGAGGAATCTTTTTCGAAAGAACACGAACATCCTGATGGATAGGCTCGTAGATGAACTTCCAAGTCCGTTCAGGAGCTAACGGCTTCAAAACAATCTTTCCTTGAAACTCATTGATTGGAGCATTATAGAACTGAACCAAGTCGATGATCCCAACAAATCAGAATTCATTAGCAATCAATGCGGGTTAATAGTCGAAGCTAAGACCCTATGCATATCGGCTAATATTCCACAATGTATACTGTATACACAAACAACTGCAAGCAATTTTTATGAAAATTTGAAGATTTATCAAGTACTTTCTGTTGTTCAATATAAACACATAGAAATCCTGTATTCTCATGGATTGTTTAGGAACCGTTTGATAACCATTTCTCCATCCTCCCTACCACCGCCCCCTCTCCACCCTTTTCGTCCCTCTCTCCCCCATATACTTTCGCTCTAACTCTACCCAATAAATCAAAACCAAAAGCTAAAACCGAAATAGTTATCAAACGGCACTCAGTGTTTGCAAACAAAACTTCAATAAATAAAAAAATATTTACAAACAGGACACTTTGACTTGTGACTAGCATGGAGGAACCCATCAAGTAATTCTTCATATTAACACAAAAAACAGAGAATTAAGCATTGGATTATATAAAAAATTTCAAACCTTTGAACTGGACAGGTAAAAAAACAGTAAAAATCTTGAGGAAATTGAAATTTCATACCTCCAGATTGAGGCCGACCCTTAAACCCTGCACTTCTTTCCGGAACTTGAAAAATAACTCCGATGGAATCAAATTTACACTGTAATTTTCTTCCCACGAAGTGGGCTCTTCTCCATTCGAACCCCAATCCATTTTTTTTCTTTTATAAATTCAGAACTGTGAACTGTACGGACGAGGCTTTGGAGCACTCGCTCTCTGCTACTGCACTGTGAGGGTAGACGAGAGGGAGAGAGCCTATGCATCAGGATGAAGGTCCATTGGGCCATTGTCCACAAATTGTTAAATGAAAGATGGGTTCATTTTGGTTGAAAGTGGCCCACCAAAGGCTTCTACAATGTGTGGCCCACCAAGCCTTCAAGTTTTTTTTTTTGGATAAAGTTCAAAAAACTATCTCAACTATTGATGTCGCGACACTTTCATACCTCATTTTTTAAAATTGACAATGTCATACCTCATTTTACAAATTTGTGCCAATGTTAGACCTCCGTCAGTTTTTCTGTTAATTTCTCTGTTTAATTCTGACGTGGCCCGACATGTGTCCCACTCACTAATCCAATTGGATTAAAAAATAATAAAATATATTTTTAATAATAAAATATTCAAAAATTAAAAAATATATATATTAAATCTCTCTCACTCTCTCCTCTCTCTCCCCTTTCTCATCTCTCTCTTCCCTGCAACCCAAAACCCCTTCCCACCCTTCCTTCACCACCCTCTCTCTCCCCTCTCTTTCTCTGCTCACTCTCTTCTCTGCATCCCAAAAGACCCAGAACCCGGAGGAACAAAACCCACCTTCCCATTGCAGCAATTGTTGCCGCAATTCGAAAACCCCAAAATGAAGAACCCAATATTGCTCGACTACTTCGCCTCCTTCACTCTGCCACCCTCGATCTGCAACTGGACGCCCAAAATGACGGCGTCGACCTGAACTTGGATTGGGAACCGGTCTGATTTGCGACGAAGTCCGAGTCTGTGGGGTAGTGGGGGGGGGACACGGGTCAATGGGCAAGAGTTTGGGGGGACGGGTCAATGGGCAAGAGTTTGGCGGATGAAAAAACCCAGGTGGGTTTAGGTGGTTTTGGGCACGGCGAGAGAAATAAGTGGGGAGGAAGGAGACTACGGTGGAAAGGAGAGGGAGAGGCGAGAGAGAGGGGAGAGATAAGATGGTGGAGGACGGGTGGGAAGGGGTTTTGGGTCTTCTGGGATGCAGAGAAAAGAGAGAGGCAAGAAAGGGGGGGGGAGAGAAAGAAGAGAGAGAGATTTAATATATATTTTTTGAATTTTGAATATTTAATTATTAAAATATATATATTTAATTATTTTTTAATCCAGTTGGATTAGTGAGTGGGACACGTGTCGGGCCACGTCAGCATTTAACAGAGAAATTAACAGAAAAATTGACAGAGGTCTGACATTGGCACAAATTCGTAAGATGAGGTATGACATTGTCAATTTTAAAAGATGAGGTATGAAAATGTCACGACACCAATAGTTGAGGTAGTTTTTTGTACTTTACCTTTTTTTTTTAACAAATGATGTTGTAAATAAAAAATTTATCTAAACTATAAAGATAGTTATCCAAATTTGGATATTGACGAGAAAGAACACTACTTTAGCCCATTTAGCCAAGCGCAATTCTGCTGTAATATTCTAGTTCATATTAGTCAAAATTACAAGAAGAGTCGAACTCGAATACATCAAATTTATGATATCATAAATTCTCCATTTACAAAAAAAAATTGGGGACTTCCAAGTTTATTTAATGGCATGATGAAGAAGGCACGTGTTCCAAGTAGTGGCTTGGGTGTGCTATCTCTTCATTAAGATCCTACTCAAAATGTCAAAGGTATTATGAAGCCATTACTAGTGAGCAGTGACGAAGGATTGTCATTGTTTCATTCCAAATTTAAAGTTCCAATCTTTGGTTAGACTATGACCTTCCAAGTTACAAAAGTTAAATCACCCATTTAGAGATTTTGTGTCAAAGAAGCTTTGTTTTCTTAATTAGAAACTAAATTTGGTTAAATCAACCATGATTGTGTTTTAGTTTCTTAAATCTTACTCTTAATTTCTCTTCATCTTACTTAATAGTAAACAACTCCTCTTTTTTCGGTTGATAACGAGGCATAAGCCTAAAAGAAAAAGAAAGATTACATAAGAACGTCACGAGAGCATGAAACTTTAGCCATATATGCAACAAACAACTGACGACAAGAATGATGAGCTTGCTAAAAAATACTGGACCCAAACGAGCCAAATCATGAACAACAAAATTATTTTCATGGTAAATATATCGAATCTGTTCCTTTTGAACCAAGAAAACAAGTATTTTTATAGCTCTATTTCCCTCAAAGAAAACAAGTGTTTTATTGGTAGTTATGCTAATTACACAAACGAGTTGTCTAAATCTGTTCCTTTTATTTGGTTTATACATTGATCACGTATCACATTCTCGTGATTAAGTAAATTTAAAGACATTTATTTCTTAACCCTTGACAACTGACAAGAGTTGGGTCGCAACTTATGACTCAAATATGGCATTTCTATGCAATTATGATATCTAT